CCCGCGTCCCCTGCATCGGCAGGCGGACTCTCAACCACTGCGCCGCCAGGGAAGCCCGGGATTGATCCTTTTTCAAGGGGAGGAGATCTCTCACTTTGAAGTGAGGCAAGGTGGTCCTCCTGTGGCCCTCTCCCCGCAGCTGGTAAAGACACACACACAAGTCTTTTCTCTCCTTTTCTCTCCATCTCCACCAAGTATCTGAACTTCTGCCCCCCCCCTCACTTAAATGTTATTTTACTCAGATATCTTTTGAAATTGTATTTCTTTGGTTAGCCATAAAATGTTCTTTCTAAGCAACTGAGCCACTGTGCAACAGGGGTTCTGCCCACATTTTTTAAATTGAGAGATGATTCATGTACCACATATTCACATTATCATAACATTCCCACATTTAAAGTGTACCGTTTAGTGGTGTTTAGTACGGTCACAGAGTTTTGCAAGCAGCACCACGATCTAACTCCAGAACATTTTCATCACCCCAGGAAGAAACCTGTATCCTTAGGGAGTCACCCCACCTCTTCCATCCCCTCCAAGCCCTCGACAACTGGGAATCTACTTTCTATCTCTATAGATGTGCCTATTTGACATTTCATCTTATATGAACGGAATCACACAATATGTGGCCTTTTGTGTCTGACTTTTTTCACATAGCCTGTTTTCAAGGTTCATCCATGATAGCATGTATTAGTACTTTATGTCTTTTTATGACTGAATAATTGTGTGGATGTACCACATTTTTTTAATCCATTGATCAGCTGATGGACATGTGGATTGTTTCTACTTTTTGGCTATTATGAATAATGCTGCTATAAAATTCATGTAGAAGTCTTTGTATAAACATGGGTTTTCATTTCTCTTGAGTAGGATTGCAAAGGTTTTTCCACAGCAACTGCCGCAGTTTACATTCATACCAACAGTGCCCACCATCTTTATTGTCTGCTTTTCTTAATACAGCCATCCTAGTGTGTGTGAAGTGTTATTTCATTGTGGTTTTGATTTGCATTTCCCTAATGACTAATGGTATTGAGCATCCTTCCATGTGCTTGTTGGCCATTTGTATATCTTCTTTGGAGAAATGACTATTCAAATCCCTTGCCCATTTTTTTATTGGGTTATTTGAAACACAGAGGTTTTTAATTTTGATGAAGTCCAGTTTATCTATTTTTTTTTCTTATCATTTTTGTACTTTTGGTGGCATATCTAAGAAACCATTGCATAATCCAAGGTCATGAAGATGTATACCTATGTTTTCCTCTAAGAGTTTTATAGTTTTAGCCCTTACACTTAGGTCTTTGACTTTTTGAGTTTTCTTTTCTATGTGGTAAGGACCCAGCTTCATTCTGTTTTGCATGTGGATATCTAGTTACCCTAACACTGTTTGTTAAAAAGATTACCCCATTGAATTCTCTTGGCATCTCTGTGTAAGTTTACCTCTAAGCACTCCTTAGAAAGCTGTCTCCTAAATACATGCTATATGGGGACAGAAAAGATGTCTTTAAGAGAAAGTCTTGTATTCTGCCTCTATTTACTATGATCAATAGGGTCTTTCTAATGATAAGCCCTTTGGAAGTATCACTTTCTATTTTAAGATTAAGATATTAAAGACTTTAATGACAGTTTAGTTGTTTTTTTTTCTGATTAAAATTCTCTCAATACTATCAATACTTTAGCATAAGCCAAATAATGAAAAATGGATTCTAAAAAACTAAGTTTCTAGCACTGTCCGCCATGGAATCTTCTGAGTAGGTTTTTCCAGATACCTCCTGCCTTATTTTTGTGTTCACAGGAGTTTTTGTGTCTTGACAACTCTCTATTTAGACACATTTCACAGGGTCGTTCCCCCGTTATTTTCTCCCTTTTGTTCAAGAAGCCAAGCCTGTAGTTAAGGAAAGCCTGCTTCCCTTGCAGTCTGAGAGCCACTACTCAAGCCACTCCAGCAGCAATACCCTTTCCAGCAACGCATCAAGCGCCCACAGCGACGAGAAGTGGTATGACGGGGACCGCACCGAATCCGAGCTGAACAGCTACAACTACTTGCAAGGCACCTCCGCAGACAGCGGCATTGACACCACTTCCTACGGCCCTAGCCACGGGAGCACGGCCTCCCTGGGGGCGGCCACGTCGTCACCACGCTCGGGGCCGGGCAAGGAGAAAGTGGCCCCCCTGTGGCACAGTTCCAGTGAAGTCATCTCCATGGCAGATCGGACTTTAGATTCAGAGAGCCACGGCATGGACCGGAAAACTGAGTCCTCCCTGAGCTTGGACATCCATGCCAAGAGCCAGGCCGGCTCAAACCCTCTGACCAGGGAGAACAGCACGTTCAGTATCAATGACGCTGCTTCCCACACCAGGTAACTGCCCCTCCCTGCTGCCCCTCCCACTGGCCTCATCCCACTTCCCTTTGCTCAAGAGTGTATAAAGAAAGGGTTTTTTTTTTATTTTGGTTTGGTTTTTTTGCACAGTGACAGTTATTTTTATATATTTAATGCCTTTTATTTACCACCCAAATCCTTTATTCCTGCCATCCTAGTGCATTATTTAAAACTGTGGGAAAGGTTTGCAGATTTGTTCTTCATAGCTGTATTTGATTTTATAAAAACGTTCCTAGCTGCATACCAGCCTGAGAGAAGAATTTCGTCATGTGGCTTCCAGCTAGTGATAGAGAATATAGAATGGGACAGTCTTTGGAAGACATTAAAAGAAAATCTTGACCATATTTTTAAAAGGAAGGGGTCTTTTCCAAGACTATCATGGCATCATTTATGATGCTGAACGCATCTTTCACACTCTGCCTCTCTATCAGAGAACATCGCTTAGCCAGTGTTCGCATGGCAGTTTGTTTTCAGTAATTGGCTCCTGGCAGTCACGTGTTGGGGGGACGTGTCTAACAGGAAAGTGTAGCTAAAATTAGACACAGCCCGTCTACCTTTCAGAAGAGAAAAGTACACATTCCCCCGTATCCTTGGAGATCACGGTGATAGGCAAAGTAAATACTATTTTTCATTTCCTCCTTTGGATTTGAGCCTACAATCCAAAGTATAAGATCCTTTCTTTTAGGGAGGAAACATTCCATCACTCTCTTTTGGGGCCTGTTGATCTGTGTGGTGGTTTCTCCTTTTACCTTTAATTGTTGTCAGTCGTTGATCAGCTTGTATGATAGCATCCAACCTTGCTGTCTTCCAGGCTTCTTTTACTGTCATGCCCTCAAGAAAAGTAGCAGAGAAGTTGAGTTTAGTTTTACTTTCCAAACGGGAATCCAGGCACATAATCTGTCAGTAAACCCCAGGTAATCTTAATGAGAGAGGATATCCTTGACTTAATTTGGATTTAACTTGATAAGTTAAATATTCACTTCTCCCATTGTCTGTATTGTTATTGATAAGATTCGCAAGCTTCCCTTGCGTTTCCGAGTTTTATCTCTGTTTACCACTACCACATTGCAGTAATACACTACCGAATGTAAAATAGCTAGCTAGTGGGAAGCAGCCTGAACAGCACAGGGAGATCAGCGCTGTGCTTTGTGACCACCTAGAGGGGTGGGATAGGGAGGGTGGGAGGGAGGGAGACGCAAGAGGGAAGAGATATGAAAACATATGTATATGTATAACTGATTCACTTTGTTATAAAGCAGAAACTAACACACCATTGTAAAGCAATTGTACTCCAATAAAGATGTAAAAAAAAAAAAGTGATGGCCACAGGTCTGGAAACCCGCATGGCCTCCAAGCAGAAAGGCAACTGGGAAAGTCATCTCAGGATTCTTGGGTATCATGCATCCAGTTACATTTCCATAATTCAGAAAATAGAATGTTTGGTTCAAGTGGATTAAGGAAGTGTTTGGAAGACAGAAAGCCGGGCATCAAATACCATAATAATATAATATAGATGTAGAATCACTTGACGCAGAGTTGTGCCACTGGCTTGCTGTTTCTGGCACACCCACCATCTCATTAAGTATGGCCTGTGCACTGACCCAGAACAGTAGTTCCTCTGTGGTTTTCAGGTTTACCTTGACTCCTAGATTTGGTTTTCCATTCTTCATTTTGAAAGGAGAATGTCTTTTTCGAAATGATACTCCATCTGGGGATGTATCTCTGGTTTAATTTGATGGCAGAAGAAAGTCAGTCATAGAAGTCTTGTCTCAAATGGCATCACCACGGAGTAAAGTTGAAAAGAGCTGGGCCTCTGAAACCAAAGCACAAAACGTGGGCTGTGCCATCTCACACAGAAACTAACACACCATTGTAAAGCAATTGTACTCCAATAAAGATGTAAAAAAAAAAAAGTGATGGCCACAGGTCTGGAAACCCGCATGGCCTCCAAGCAGAAAGGCAACTGGGAAAGTCATCTCAGGATTCTTGGGTATCATGCATCCAGTTACATTTCCATAATTCAGAAAATAGAATGTTTGGTTCAAGTGGATTAAGGAAGTGTTTGGAAGACAGAAAGCCGGGCATCAAATACCATAATAATATAATATAGATGTAGAATCACTTGACGCAGAGTTGTGCCACTGGCTTGCTGTTTCTGGCACACCCACCATCTCATTAAGTATGGCCTGTGCACTGACCCAGAACAGTAGTTCCTCTGTGGTTTTCAGGTTTACCTTGACTCCTAGATTTGGTTTTCCATTCTTCATTTTGAAAGGAGAATGTCTTTTTCGAAATGATACTCCATCTGGGGATGTATCTCTGGTTTAATTTGATGGCAGAAGAAAGTCAGTCATAGAAGTCTTGTCTCAAATGGCATCACCACGGAGTAAAGTTGAAAAGAGCTGGGCCTCTGAAACCAAAGCACAAAACGTGGGCTGTGCCATCTCACAAATCTACCAAATCCCAGGGGATGTACAAAGTACCCTCTGAAAAGTCAGCACCTGGGCTTGCATTATCTGAATACGCTGACTGAGGCTGCCTGAAGGTCTTAAAGGATTATCCACATTTTCTGCTTCCAACTGACCATGCAGAAATCATTTAAATCATCATTTAGAAATAACTCTTCTGTTGAAAATCAAAGTTGCTAAGGAAGAATGTGGCCTTTCAGGGAGGATGGCCAGGCTTCCCACCCACTGATAGGTTTTGTCACATTCATTCGTGACTCTGGTAACGGGGATGCTTTGTGACTTCAATCTGTTGATCTTGGCAGAGTGAGCTGGATAATCAGAGCTTTAGCAGACTTCCTTTTCTGGAGGAAAGGGGGACTTAGCCACCAAATGCACATTGCTAGAGAAACTAAAATCACTGCAAATTAGAGCGTTTGTGTCCTCGGAAGACGGGAACAGCAATTAATGTGGAGATCTCTTGACAGTGCATAAAAGAGCTTATACCTGGGACTTGGTGACAAAGTCTAAATTACAGTGATTAAGTTCCACTGCGTATTTCTGCCTGGGCTGTGTTCCTCCTCCCTCTGTCCTCCAGTCTCCCTGTTGATGATTGTGCAGGGTTTTTTGTGGCCCCCCCATGAGAATTGCTTAATGTAGGTTGGTAGTTATATAGGGTTGTTCTATTCGGATGTCATTAAGAGGAACCATACACATTGAAAGCTTTCTACAATTAAAAAGTCTATTAATTGCTCTAAAGTGTTATTTCCTAAAATGTATTTTCTATGAAGCTTGGGAATTTAGGGAGAGATTTAAAAGAAAAAATTTTTTTTTGTAATGGCTGTTTCACTTTCAGGTGTTAAACCACTCAAAAAAATGATCTGTGGTGAACATAGGAGAAGTGAAGATAGTTCCAATTTTAGTATACTGTTACCAGCTGGGTTCATTTCTGTCTTAGAGTTCTGGCCTCAGAAGTAGGCAGTGTGTCCGTTTGTGTGGTGACCAAAGACTTCCTTAGCTTACAGAACTCTAGTCCTGCTGACCAGGGGCCATTGCTAATGGCAGAACTAGATTCAAGATCACATATTATAAAGCTAAAGGGAATTCCCTGGTGGCCCAGTGGTTAAGACTCCACACTTCCACTGCATGGGGAACTAAGGTCCCGCATGCCACACAGCGCTGCCAAAAAAAAAAAAAAAAAGCAAACAACCCACCTCAGTCTTGCACATATGCATCTTGTCTGTAACATCCTGACCTGACCTGTTCAGATGTCCAGACTTCTGCACCCACTCGTTACCAGCCGTTCTGCTGCTTCGTCTTGCTTCCTGTAGGCCCCCTCAGAGCTCTGGTGCCAATTAGTACCCACTTATGTGATCACATACACATTTTTACTACCCTCCAGTACAAAAGGACTTCTCATCCAATGTGTTCATCCTAAGCACCTGTGCATAGTATGCACCGCTGTGAGCGTAACAGATAGGTGCTCAATACACCAGCATTATAGGTGTTCAGTACATTTTGATGAACAAATAGGAATAAGTTCTTCCTTTCTGTTCCCACTTTTTGCCTGATGACTCAAGGTCCCTACTAATAAACCAGTTTGAAAATAGCATAAATCCTTAACTCCTGACTGCTCTGAAAAACTACACTACATTTCAAAGCTTACTGTATAGACCTGTCAATATTTGCACAGAGCTCTAGTGCTTTTATATACAAGTGTATGTATAAGAGTGTACCTAAAGTCCTTGTATGGCATGAGTTTTTAGTTAAGTCACTTCTATGTAAGATTTTTTAATCTGCAAAATATAACAGGGAGAGACTTTATAACAGCTTATCTACAAATATCAATATCTGCATATAAGTTGGTCAGTGTCTGACATTCACTAGAGGGGATGATTAAAGGCCAGGAAAAATGCCTGCCCACAGATGTTAGTACAGTTCAGTTTCATGAATGTGCTTTTTCTGGTTGACCTAATAGTTAACTATTCATGCCAGAAAAGCTGTACGTTTCTTGAGAGTAGGGGTGAAGGACTTCTTATATTCAGTTTACATGGAACAGTAAGGAATGCCTCAGGCTACTCTGGTGTACTGACTGTGTATGAGTGCCTGTGTGTGTGAGTGTGCGTGTGTGTGTGTGTTAGAGCTTGTGAGTTTAAATTTTGTTCTCTACCCTCTTTGGCACCCTGGGTGAAAAATAGGCCTTCCTTCTTTGTTTAGAAATTATTCTGTTGTCCTTATCTGTAATGTTTCCTCCTTAAATCTCTTCTGCCTGGGATCTTTTTAAATTGCTAATGATTAATTACCTCTTTTCTACATTTTTTTCTTAGGGTGAGACTGTTACTTTTCTGTGTTTTATGGACTAAGACTTTAAAGTGAAGTCTCTACAGTCCCCCAGGACTTCTCTCCAACATGTGGTTGGCTCCACTTGTCATATGTTTATGAATTGTTTTCATTGGTAATTTTTGCTTTGTGGTCCCGGACAGAGTGAATATTCGGGGTTCTATTTTATTTTGCTTTTACACATCAGGACTCCAG